CACAGGTCTGTGCTCACTCACCTCTTTCCCCAGCTCTGCTGGTGACCCTCTTGTGTCCATGCAGTTGAGTGGTCAGTGGGTGCCTCCTTGGTGGTGATGTACTACCATGGGGGCAGCATAATTCCCCCTGTGGGCTGGGCCACTGGGTCACAGGTCTGTGCTCACTCACCTCTTTCCCCCAGCTCTGCTGGTGACCCTCTTGTGTCCATGCAGTTGAGTGGTCAGTGGGTGCCTCCTTGGTGGTGATGGCTACTACTGTGGCAGTGGCTGCTGCTATGGCAGTAGGCTTCCCTTGTGGTGACTGTTGCAGCAGGCCTTTTGTGGTGGCGGTGGCTGTGGCAATGGCTGTGGTGGACTGCCTGCATGGTGGTGGTAGTTGCAGTAATTAATGTGTACGTCACCTCATGCATTTTTCATTTTTTTGTGGCAAAAACACTTAAAAGTCTCTCCTGTAGCTGTTAAGTAATATAGAAACCTTAATTGTTAACCATAGTACCCTACTGTGTGATAGATCACTGAACTTATTTCTCCTATTGAATTATAATTTTGGCCAACCTCTCCCTGTTCTCCCATCCTCCATCCCCTCCCCAGTCTCTCATAACCACTGTTCTACTCTCAGTCTTTATAATATCAACTTTTTATTTTTTTTTAGATTTCACATATGAATGAGATCATATGGTATTTGTCTTTCTATGCCTGGCTTACTTCACTTAATATTAATAACCTGCAAGTCCATCCATGTTGCCACTATTGACAAGATTTCATTCTTTTTTATGGGTGATTAACATTCCATTGTGTATATAAACCACATTTAAAAAAATCCATTCATTTGTTGTTGGACCCTTAGGTTGTTTCCATATCTTGGCTATTGTAAATTGTGCTGCAGTAAACATGGGAGTGCAGATATGTACATTTAAGTTTTTGAGGAACTGCCAAATGTTTTTTGAAAGCGACTGTGCCATTTTACATATACCTAGGTGTAAAATTGCTGGATCACATAACATTATGTTTCATATTTTGAGGAACAACCTAACTGTTTCCTAAAATGTGTGTACCATTTTACAATACCACCAGCAATGTATGAGGGTTCAAAATTTTCTGGTTTCTCATCAATATCTGCTATTGTCTCTCTTTTTTATTTTAGCCATCCTAGTGGGTCTGAAGTGATATCTTCAGATAATGTAGAGCATCTTTTCATGTGCTTATTGACTATCTTCTTTGGAGAAATGTGTATTCCAATCCTTTGCTTATTTAGAAGTTGGTCTATTTCTTTTTTCATTGTTGAGTTGTAAGAGTTCTTTACCTATTCTGGATAATGTCTCTTATGAGAGGTATGATTTATAAACTTTTCTTCCATACTGTGGGTTGTCTTTCATTCTCTTAATTGCATCCTCTGAAGCAGTTTTGGGATTTTTTTTTTGGTGGCTGGCCAGTACAGGGATCAAGGGATCAAACTCTGGACCTTGGTATTATTATATCAGCATTATGCTCTACCAAGTAAGCTAACCGTTCAGCCCCCTGATTTTGATTAAATCCTATTTGTTCATTTTTTTTCTTTGGGTGCTTATGCTTTTGGTGTCATATCTAAGAAACATATCTAGTCCAAGGTCACAATGATTTACTTCTATGTTTTATTCTAAGAGTTTTATAGTTTTAGCTCTTACATTTATGTCTATGATCCATTTTGAATTCATTTTTGTGTGTGATACGAGATAGGAGCCCAACTTCATTCTTTTGCAAGTGGATATCCAAAGTTGTTTCAGAAACATTTGTTAAAAAGATTATTCTTTCCCCATTGAATTGTCTTGACACCTTTGTTTAAAATAAATTGACCGTAACTATAAGGGTTTATTTCTGGACTCTCAATTCTACTTCATTTATCTATATGTCTATAGTTATGCAGTATGCTATGGGTTAAATTGTGCCCACCAAATGTTCATGTATTAATCCTACTGTAACAATGTTAAGGATGGGAAATCCTATTATGGTAATTGAAAGGTGGGGCCCTTAGAAGGTGGTTAGATTGTGAGGATAATTCTCCAGTGAATGGATTGATTCATTCATGTAGTAATAAGTTGATGGTTTAATAAGTGTTAATGAGGGTGGTTCTGTTGGCCTTTTTAAGAGAGCAAGTGAGCAGGTTACCTCTCTCGTGCTCAGCCATTTCACCCTGTGGTACCCTGTGTTGCTATAAGTCATCACCAGGAAAAGACCTTCACCAGATATGTTCCCTGGACTGTGGACTTCCTAGATTCTGAAACTGTAAGGAATAAATTTGTTTTCTTTATAATTTACCCAGTTTCAGGCATTCTGTTATAAACAACAGAAACAGACTAATACACAGTACCACACTGTCTCGATTACTGTAATTTCGTTGTAAGTTTGGAAATTGTCAAACTGCTTCTTAGACTTTAAACCACTCTTTCAGTTTCAACTACCCCCAATTCCAGAGTTATTTGAGCCTTTAGGGGATTCTGTAGAGTAAACTGAGTTGCTTCTTGGTCTTCATTGTTAGATTAAGTTTCAGCTCTCATGTCTACAGAGTCTTTGATCACTCTCTCATCTCCTTTCAAGCTTCTTTTTATTACTGTTGTTTTTCAATTTATGCTATTCTTGTATGCCTTAGAAAGAAAAGGAAATCCTTTATGTTGCTTTAATAGGGTTTCTGGAGGGAGCATAATTAGGTAAATCTTTAATATCTTAAATAAATATCTTAAACAAATGACTTTTAATACCTTTTTTTTTTCTGCTCCACATCCAAATGGGGACATTGTCCTATGGATTTTATCTCTTCATATCTCTGGCTATTTTCATTGCATCCTTGATGCTATTTCCTTAACCTAGATTGTCATCTCCTGCAAGACTATTTCAAATCCTAGGTGGTTTCTACCTTCAGTCTTGAAATTCTCTTCCAAGCTGTGTGCAAAGCCCACACTATGTCAGTCAAGGTTTGTCGTAATCTGAACACTGCCTTCCTCTTCAGCCTCATATCATTTGCCCCAAACCTATAAATACTTCATCATCATTGAGCCAAAACAATTCTCTGTATATTTTGTTATGTTGTTCCCTCTGCCTGGAATCATCTCCTTATTATTTCCTGTTCCCTTCTAATTGACAAACACAAACTCACTTTTGAAGATTCAGCTCAGACAACTCCTGGGAGCCTCTTCTGACTCCCCTAACGGACCATTAAACAGTGTCCCTTGTGCTCTTGATGTCTTCTGTAGAGAAGTTAATATATTTTGTTTCACTTATTTATTTGTGTGTATATTTCTTTCAGCCAGACTGTGATCTTCGTGAGGGTAGGCTCTGTATCTCATTCTTTTTTGTGTCCCTAGGATTAAGTTTCAGTGCCTAACACAAAGTGAGTACTTAACAAATCTTTGTTGAATTACACATCTTCCAAAACCCTGGTCTAGATGGAATAATCTGTGTATGGTCTGTGGAACCTACTTTTGTTAATGTATTTTCCCTTGTTGTGATACTCAAGAAGCTATACAGTGTAATGGTTGACAGCATGGACTTTGGAGCTATACTGCCTGAATTTAAATCCTGCCTTGAGTGCTCTTTGTGTGAACCTTTGGCAAGTTACCTAAACTCTCTGTGCCTCAGCATCACCATCTATAAAATAGAAACAATGGTGACTGCCTTATAAGTGTTGTTGTAATAATCACATTTTGACTTACAGAAGTGCATAGAAACTGCTTAGAATGGAAATTGGCAATACTGAGCACTCAATAATATTAGCTATTATTATTATTATAATTGCTTCAATCAACTTATTTAAACTTGCCTTTTCTATTAGTTGATCAGAGCTGATCTTTGGAGGAAATTCAAGCCAAACTGTATTTCAGGAATTAGATCCAGTAATGATTATGTTCTCCCAAGACCCCAGAAACAATTAAAATCCAGTCAATTTCAGTTCACTAGTCCTGTTCTGAAAAATGTTTATCTTTTTCTCTATATAGACAAGCAGTGCCAGCCCCATATTTTGTTTAATTTTTGAGTCAGACAATCACATTTTGTCAAGAGCTTTCCATTCTTCAGGAGATTGGTAATATTTTCCTGTGGCATGGGGAATTTTATGACTTTCTAAAGTTTGAATAGGAAGAATATCAATGGATTTATGCATGTCAAATTGGTGGATTTGATCTAGTCACAAGTGGAGAGAAAAAACTCAGTAGCCATCAAGAACATCAAAAGAATGATTGTTATATGGACATTTAATTTTTTAAGTTTGAATAGGAAGAATATCAATGGATTTATGCATGTCAAATTGGTGGATTTGATCTAGTTACAAGTGGAGAGAAAAAACTCAGTAGCCATCAAGAACATCAAAAGAATGATTGTTATATGGACATTTAATTTTTTAAAATTTCCCACTTAGTGAGGAAGAGTTCAGGGTTAGTGTCTGAGCTATATCCACATGTGGCTAAATCAAAGCCTCACATTTTCTTCGCAATGCAATTGCCTTAACATCATTCTTCGTATCACAGAGACATCGCAGGATCAGGAAGCAGTGCCTTTTATGAAAACCATCATGCATATGTGCACACACATACATTCATTCGTACAGATGCAATCATAACACATCAGGTCAGAAATAGCTTTTTAACAGAAAATGACTTAAGGTTTCAGCAGTACTGATCTTTCTTAAGTTATTTTCCTACTTTTGGAAAGAAAGCACAAAAGCTTTGAATTCACAGTTACTCAAAGAATGAGATTAACTTGCCAGTAGCAGGCTTAAGAGATCAGAGCTAACATCAGGGGTCAGATGTTTTCTGGAACAAATAACACCCTCTTATTTATTGTTCTCCACCACGCTCGCCCAGACGGCTACTTGACTTAAGAAACACATCGCACTATGAGCAGAGATAACCCAGGCTTCAGGTCTGTAATCTGACCGTGGCCATCGGCCACCAGAAATGAGTTTCTTTCTAATCAGCCTTTCATCAGCCCCCAGTCACTCATATAAACGAGCTCGGGGAGGGGAACATCAGCATTGCTCTTCAGCACCAGTGTTCTGGACAGAGCCCCAAGCAGGCTGCTGATCCCATTCAACTTTGTCTCTCGATCTCCGCCAGCGTTGCTACTACTCTCTAGCTCCCCCTGCTGCAGAGAAGGAAAATTACACCAGGATCCATGCAGCCGGCAATGATGATGTTTTCCAGTAAATACTGGGCAAGGAGAGGACTTTCCTTGGATTCAGCGGTGCCTGAAGAGCATCAGCTACTTGGCAGCTCAACAGTGAGTACTGAGTACCTGGCACTCTAGGGTATCGATTGTCTTATCTTCACCGTACGGACAGCTGGGGTAGAGTAAGACCACACACCTGAACCCCTCCTCCTTTATCATCTGTTCTACTCCACTTCTCTCCTGTCTCCCTCCAGTGTTCCTCTTCTCTCCATAAAGTAAAGCAGGTGTACTGATCACTGTGTGCTGAGCTTTCCGTCCTCAAAGTTTATAAGAAGAAAGTTAAGATGCTCCTGAACATTAAGAGTGAGAGGGTGTATGAACCAGTGTCTTTAAATCCACACACAAAAAATTAGTGTTTACAATTTTGAAAGTCCATGTGTGACGAGGAGGAATAGGAAGAAGAAATTAAATAGATTTTTATGGTTCTCACAAAGTCATTTTGTCTCCTACATCTTCTTCAGTCTACGAAGCCTGATTTTTAAACATAGAACTATTATTTTCTATTCTTGGCTAGAGGTACAGGTTAGTGGAATAAGAGAAAAATCAGATTCCTTTCAAAAGTTTTTTTGTGTTATTCATTACTCCATTTTTTTTCCAGTTTAATTGATGGATTGATGAAAGCAATACACATCTTGTTTCAGTATTTAAGATAGTTTTTATGTTTAAAATATTTACATGATAAAAAAGCAATATTTGCAGGATTTTAGATCCTGATTTGAGGTAATAGTCATGGGGTTTTATAAAAATGGTGGTGAAATAAAAATGTATTCAGGTTCCTTCTCACTAAAAATATTAAATGGTATGTCATTACTGCATATCAGAATTTATCAACCAATTCCAGTTCAGTCTATATCATAGAAAAATCTGTTTCAATATTGTAGCTCCAAATATGTGCCAGAGGGTCACATTCTACTGATATATGATCACTCTAAAAATGTTGAAAGTAAACATGGCAACTTTTGTAGAACTATTTAAACCAGTTTGCAAAAATGAGCTAAAAATGTAAATAGATTTTCTAACAATTAAATATCATGAGTATTGGGAGGAACTATATTACACTGAAGAATTTTGAAGTCATAATGAACTGATGGAAAGAAAACAAAGAAAACTCAGACTTATGGTTAAGGTAAGACCCTTTCATATAAAAAAATGCTGCTTAAATATATGAGATCTGTGTGTTATATGGCAAGGAGGAGGCACATGTTGAGCATACTAAAACGGTGGAGCTTTTAATCACTAAACATACTGTCAAAGGTCAATGACTACATAAACTTTCTCTCTCAAGTCACAAATAATAAAATATCCATTTCCATTATATATATGACTCTAGTGAGTGAAGCAATACTAATGTGTAAAAGTAAAACCAGTAGAGAAATCAGAGAAAGACTATGGCAAGTCACTGTTCAGTAGGTTCCATATCAAACATACATTTCTCAGTTTAATGAGGATGTAATAGATCAGTGTAATTGTATTATATCTTCATCTGCCTGGGAGATAGTTCCCTCTTTGCCCAACTCTGTATTTGTGTATAAAGAGCACAAAACAGATCATCATAATTTTGCATTGTCTGTCAAATGAAAGTTTCCAGCTTTTTTAATGCATTTCTTACTATGTGATCTGAGTTACTAGAATCCGTCATTTTTATTTTTAGCCAACAGTACTAATAATTGTTTAATCATGTATTACAGGATTTTGAATGGCTGATAATGTGCTAATCTCTTTCAGTTTCTCAGATTCTACTGTTTGCTCCTAATGATTGCCTAGGTAGTTTTCTTTATTACTTCCTTTCTTATTTTTTTACTTTTATTTGCAGCTGAATTTTAACAGCCACTTTTCAGATATCTTCTGACACAGATGGCCTTAGTTGAATATATTCCTCTGTGCTGAACTTCTGAAGGTAGATTCACAATGACAATTCACATTGACAGTGTGGATCTAATTGCAGAAAGTAAGGTTATCAATTTCTGGGCATGTCCTGACATATTTCAGAATGAAATGGATATTTTATTTTTAAGATTTAATAGAAACTAAAATTATTTTTCTCAAAAATATACATTTACTCTCATTTTTATTCTGTTTAGTAATTAATATAGTTTCATATAATCGAACTAAACTAGAAAGAAAGGCAGGAATTATTGAAATTTGATACTTTATGATGGTTGGATTTTTGTTCCTACTAGAGTGAAGCAAATCTGATTTCCCTTTAATTTCAACCACTAGATGATATCTTAGAGCACTGGAAAATAGTGTCCCCAGAGTAAGTTAGACCAATATTTATGATTGAAAGTTATGAGTGACGTGACAACTTCACCTTGAGTTTGTACGATTGGTGGGGCTTTCCGCATATGAATGGAATATTTTGGAAAAAAATCTAATTATGGAGGATTTTGGAATCTTTAATATTGTTTTGTGTGCTTTTACATTCTTGAAGCTAAATAAAGCTAACTCCGGCAAAAATGAAGGCAAGAGTGGCAACCAGGGAGGCAGCAAAAGTGAAACTGCTTCTGAAAGTGGCAAGACAGCAGTCATATTCTCCTTGAAAAATGAAGTCGGTGGATTGGTAAAAGCACTGAGGCTGTTTCAGGTGAATGTACAATATCATTACATAACTTTAAAAGTGACTGTGTGCCCGGTTACAAACCTGTTATCTGCTATGAAACATTACTGAATCAATTTCTGAATAATGTGTTAAAAGATTCAAAGGAACCAAACTTCACGAGGCTTTAAAGAGGAGATTGTTTGCCAAACAACGAGATAAGCAGATTCGCATGAACTATGATTTATTAATTCAGAGTTAGCCTATTAGGAACTCTGCAGACTGTTGCCAGATGAGAAATTCAGTAATTCAAAAATGTGAGCCTCACAACTGAAGATGCAAACACAAAAGGAGCCAAACAGGGTATCTTTAAATATCAAGAGGCTGCAGCTTGATTTCATTTGTTAAAATTTGAATCATGCATATGTCCTAAGCTCACATTTATTGCATAAATTGAGATAGATGAGTACAGGAGTTGGTATTCCCCTAAGCCTCATTGTTTCATGAATGTAACGTGTCTCTTTGTAAAGATGAGTTACTCTCCTTATATGTAAATTGTAGAGCTAGCTCTTCTCTTATTTTATAGAAATGCAGTAGCATCTTTCCAGGTCCAAATCCGTGATTTGAATCCTCAACAAAGAGCCTGAGTGGGGGTGAGGCTAGACAAGACCAGAAAAACTATTGCCTTCTTGCCAGTGTATACCTGATGGTTCCTCTACCTTTCAGCAAACACCCTCCCTGACAAATGCATTTTGTTTGTGGCATTGGCTGTTGATTAGAGCTGTAAGATAAGGAGTGTAGCTCTGCGTGGTGCCTTGGGCTGCTGGTGCAGTGGAAAGATAGCTGGAATTCGGTCGGGGATTCACACTTGTGTTAACCTGTCTGGCTAATCACTTGCTGTTTCCCAGGTTCATTTTTTTTTTCATTTGTAAAATAATAATTCCTAATGGGGTTGTTGGGACGAACTAATATGAATGAAAGTGCTTTGTAATGTGTACAGATATGAGGCATTATTATGATGCCTCTATGATGATCACAGAGATGAAATTAGCAGCCTGATTAGGAAAATATTTCCTTGTTTCCTTTTGACCTTGAAGAAAGGATCAGGTACCATAAACAGTGGTAATAGAAATCTGGGGTAATATTTTGCACGCAATTATGTCAACAGGGCTGTGTCCATACAGTGCCCAAAGGCAGGCCAATTCAATTAGATAGTTGAGTGAAGTGGAAACATTTCTGAAGAAGTTAGCAGCCCTGAGTTTTCACTCTGCCATCAGCTATTCATGGGTCCTGAGCTAAAGCACTTAAGCCCATCTAGACCTCAGTTCCCTTGTCTAAAAATATCTACTCTGATTCAACCAAAGGACATTAAAAGCCCAAAGTGACACAATGTATGTGAAGTCTCTTGAACCTTAAACAATATTAATTTTATTTTTATTATCAGCTAATTTATAAAATAAGGCTTTATTGTAAAGATTAATACAAACTGAAAGAGAACATTTAGTTTTCTGGTCACAGGACTATAGGAGTTTTTTTACATAGGAGAGGATGCTGGAAACTACCTATAGCCTGTTCCTATGCAGAAAATTCTGAGATCACCCAGGATTGTATCAAGAATAGTGCTGATAATCAGAGTGTACACTCTGGAGTAATGGGGAAGCATCTGCTTATTTGAGATTGGGTTGGGGAGGAAAGGAGAACTTAGTCTTCTATTAACTAAGGGGAAAGAAAGAATCATCACTGGGGAAAATTAACCCTGATTTTTAAGTATTAAATTCCTGTGCTTCCTCACACATCTTATTGTAGGGAGATTTTGACCTCTGAGATCCAGCACAGGGTGATCCAGTGGTTATCCTTGGATGAAGCTAGCCTGGAGGTTGTCAAAAGACAGCAATTACTACGTGGTCCTGTTTAGGGTGTATTTTATTTATTTACCTTTCTTTTGTCTCCTTATTTTACCGTAAGTTGTTTGTTTTCCTTTTGCTTTAGAGATCCTTTCTTTCCTGCTTTTCTTGTTCCCTTTTCTTTTCCTACAATGTGGGCTACAGTTTGGCCAGTGTTTTTCAAACTGCAGTTGTTTCATACCCCCTTCCCAATTTCTGCCTGCCATTTGTACTATTTACTTATTAAAGAGATTACTTTACTTATTTATTTACATTTCAATTTTATTTTGAAGATACTGGCAAATACAATTTGAGAAGTGTAAATAAAAACTCACCTGTGTTTTTATCATTGAAATTGTTTTATTTTATTTTATTTTATTTTTTGGTGGCTGGCCAGTACAGGGATCCAAACCCTTTGACTTTGGTGTTATAACATCGTGTTCTAACCGACTGAGCAACTGGCCAGCTAACTTTAGTTTATTTTAAAAGTAAATTTTATATCAGTATAAAAATCAGGGATTTGATTTTTAGTTATGTTTTTCAGAAACATAATAATATAAATCTGGGGATTGTATGTTAATATCATAAACAGATTTTTCCCCAAATAACCATGTGCTACCAGTGGGATGTGGACCACTCTGGAAAATGATGATGTTTATCATTATAATACATTTTATAGGACCCTTTATATATCTTAAATGCCCCCCCCCCTTTTTAATAAGACAGAACAACCTACACGAAGAGCTAGAAATATTTTCTCATTAATAGAGATGATGGTTGGAAACATTACCACGTTTTCATCCAAGAAAAGGCAGATTGTCTTTTCCTCTTTTGTGGGCACTTAGCACTTTAAGAGTTGCTTAAGAGTTGTGCAAGAAATTCTGCTTAGGAGTTGAATGAGAACAGGTGGTGGCATCTCTTTAATTGTGCCCTGAAGGTGATTTAGAGAGGATGCTTATGTCTCCACAGGAAAAACATGTCAACATGGTTCATATCGAATCCAGGAAATCCCGTCGAAGCAGCTCTGAGGTTGAAATCTTCGTGGACTGTGAGTGTGGCAAAACAGAATTCAATGAGCTCATTCAGTTGCTGAAATTTCAAACCACAATTGTGACGCTGAATCCGCCGGAGAACATTTGGACACAGGAGGAAGGCAAGGGCAGTTTTAGCTTGTTGGGTGATTTTCGAAATCTGACAAATGTTGCCAAGGGGAAAATGCAATCTGTGAGCTAATATTTTTGAACCTGCACTGTGTTTTCAACAGAGCTAGAGGATGCACCCTGGTTCCCCCGGAAGATCTCTGAGTTAGACAAATGCTCTCACAGAGTTCTCATGTATGGTTCTGAGCTTGATGCCGACCACCCAGTAAGTGTTCAGTAAAATCCATTTCACACACTCTTCCAGCTCTGCCCATATGCCAGGCACTGTGCTGTACTGCTTTATCATAGAGCAACTTATTATTTATTCCCCATAACTCAGAGCAGACTTTTTAATGATTAAGCTTCCCCGTGTACGTGTGTTTGCTGGCTGGAAGCAGGTTAGAAGGATGGCATTTTCATGTAGCATTTATTTTTAAAAGGGTTGGATAGAGGAGGATATTCTAAACCTTAGAGAATATTTCTGTGGAATTAGACAGCCTGAAATATACTTGCAGATGGTGACCCTTGGAAAAACGATGAACTGAAATTGATCACACTTTTGGGAAACTAGGGAGGACTAGGCATTATGGTGCACAGTGAGAGAATAAAATTCTACTTGCTATTTTTCTTGACCAGAGGTAGTTAGGAGTAGAGTAATGTGGTTGACTTCAGTCTCAATGGAAAGGCAGAGGATTTTAGAATAAGGCTGTGATGGAAGATGTATCTTTTCCCACATCTACCCTGAATCTATCTACCACCATTCTCTCTGCTATGCCAATAAAAATGACCACCTTTAAAGAAATATGATGCCCAGATAAGCATTTCCCATTATTCTCCCCCAACTCCCTTTACATCAGTTTTTATTTAACACAAGAAACCTGGAACTTCTTTATGGTCAGAATAAAGTACAGTTAATACAGCCATTCATTGCAGGCACTTCCCCCCCCCCCCCCCCCCCCCCCCCCCC